CTCCAAGGTTGAGAAGCCGTGAGCTGGAGTGCTCCTCTAACTTCAGTGTGCACACGCATTGCCTGAGTCTTGACAAAATGCAGATTTTGATTCAGCAGGTCTAGGTTTGGGGCCTGAGATTCTGCTTTTCTGACAAGTTCCCAGGGGAATGCTGCTGGTTACTGGACCAAGGTGGCAGAAGGGAGCTGGAACTCAGGCCACGCTCCCCAGCCATAGGGATTGTGGTTCTTGCGCCCCCTGGTGGTCAAAAACTCCCTAGCAGCACCCAGCCCAGAAGAACTGATACAATTTCTGGAGTATTGACAGACTCTTCCCCACAGCCAGACCACTGACATCTTCATTTCAGCCTCGTAATAACCGAGCACAAACCTGCCTAGATTCCTGACCCTCGACTCCTGACTTAACAAAACTGTGAAGTAATAAATGGGTATTGTTTAAGCTGCCAAATTTATGGTAATTTGTCATGCAACAACATAAACTAATAAAGGGAGTTTTATAGGCTTTAGAATAACAGGTCAGGTGAGAATCCTAAGTCCACGGGCTTGGCCCGGAAACTCTGCACAATATCTCTTTTCTAGCCCAGGCGGATGGATCCGTTCCCAACTTCCAACCCAATGGGAGAAGAGGCAGAAAGGATGGTATTTCTCATTTATCAAGATTGTACTTGCTGCCTTATTTCTTCATGACTGCACACTTCATTTCACCTTATGGTGTCTGTTGTCACTGACATTCATGAAAGCTCAAGGATGGTGCAGGGGGCTAGTTTATTCTCTGTGGCAGACTGTATTTCTCCAAAGACGAGTCCCAGCCCGTGTGCCCTTTTTATAATATGATCTTGACACTCCTCCATCAAGAAATTGGATCTAAGTTCCATCCTCTTGAATCTAGCAGATCTAAGACTATGGTGAGAGTGACGTGAGGTGACTTTCGAGGCTAAGTGATAAAAGGTGACAGACATATCTGCCTGGTTTGCTCTCTCAGGATGATCATCCTTGGAACCCAGGCACCATGCTGTGAGGACGTCCAAGCAGCCATCCAGAAGGGTCCCCTGCAGGTGTCCTGGCCACAGCCCCTACTGGGAACCACCATCAGTTGAAGACTTGTGAGAGAGAGAGAGAGAGAGAGAGACAGCCTTCGGAAGATTCTTTCTTCAAAAAATGCCCCAGATATGAGCTGCTTCCACTGAGCCCTGTCCAAATTGCAGATCTGGGAGCAAAATAAATGTTTTAAACCTCTAAACTTTATCTCATTGTTATGTGAGAGTAGGTGACTGGAACACCCTCAGACTCTCTCTGGAGAACAACACACTGAATCTAACTGGGTGTCGGGGTGGGGATGGGGAACCTTTGGTTTTGATTACATGTGAGTTACCTGTTTTTTATTAGTTCCTATTTTTTTAAAGGCAGTCTGATTAGAAAATAAGTTCAGTGCTAATAAACTATTTGGAAATCAGCCCTGAGATTTTTTTAGAAACATCGGCATTTTTATGACTTTTCTTCTTTGCTATTTAATTCTTTTAAAAGGCTGTCTTCTTAGATAGTTCTCAAGAATAGTCAAGACCCAGAGGGAAGGATAGTGTTAGGAATTTGTCTGCAGGTGCTCCCCCACCCGTGGGAGGCCGAGTTCTGAAATGGCCTCCGACAACCTCCACCTCCTGTTACTGGGGCCCTTGTGTGATCCCCTTCCGTGAGTGTGGACTTGACTTCATGACTTGCTTCCCAACAGAATATGGCAAAGGTGAGGGGATGTCACTTCCATGGTTGGTTACAAAAGATTGTGACCTCTGTCTTGCTGGCAGACCCTCCCAATTGCCCCTTTAGCTTGCACACTTTGACGATGCAAGCTGCCAGGTTGGAGAGGAGGACCCGAAGGCAGCCTCTGGCCAACAGCCAGCGAGGAACTGAGTCTAACAGCCCTCAGCCTATGAGAAAAGACATGAACTTGGAAGGGTCTCCTTCCCAGCTGAGCCATGAGATGAAACACCAGCTCTGGCCGGCTCCTTGACCGCAGCCTTGGGAGAGACCTTGAGCAAGGGACGCAGCTAAGCTTTGCCTGGACTCCTGACCCACAGAAACTGGGAGATAATAAATGTGTGTTGCGCTAAGCCTCTAAGTTTGGGAATAACATGTTAGGCAGCAATAGATAACATGAATACACCCGCCCTCCTCGAGCTGCCGCGCGTCATTTCTTTATCAGAACCCCAGTCACGTGCAGGCTGAACATGCGCCCCAATCCACCCCCGTCAACACCAGGGTTCTCACCCGGGTGTGCCCGCCTCTGTCCAAGTGAAGCAGTATTTCAGTTCTGCACTGGCCGGCTGGCTTCCTTCTTGGTGTCTGGACCTGTGTTTGCCGAGCCTGTCTTGGAACATTTAACTCTATGCATTGCCCCAATAAATCTCCCCTGGAGCCTGGGTCAGATTCCATCTGAATCAGGTAAAACCTCAGACACAATGCTCTACCCCTGAATATTGCAAATTCATGTGTCCTCCCCCTGGGCTAGGCTGAGCTTGGGCTCTGCAAAACATGTGGCTTCCTCAGGATACACCGGCTCTTCCTGCAGCAGGAAGGACCATTTCCTCCAAGTCATGAACTTTCTCTCATTTGAGTTCCTGCCTCTTGTTCTCTGACAGTTCTGCACTGGCGTCCTCGGACCAGAAGCCTTTTTGCTTCTTAATGTTGGAATCTGAAAAGAAGTCTTACCCAGTACAGCTGACTGAGGAATTTTTTTAAATTTCTACCCAATTTTTTTGACTGAGGAATTCTAATCCTTGCTTATATTATGTGGCAACATTAGTTGTTTCCCCTACCTTCATACCCTAGATCTTCCCTTTTGTCTTCACACATTACATTATTTATTTAATGGAGGTACTGGGCATTGAACCCAGGACCTCGTGCGTGCTAAGCATGCACTCTACCACTGAGCTACACCCTCCCCCCTTACACGTTCCATTTTTCATTTACATTCTGTAAACCAGAACCAAAACACCACATACCAAGAAAACCAAGAAAAACGGATCTGCTTTGGTTCTCAAATATTAGCGGAAAGAGCGCTTCCCCTGGATTTGGGGTTCACATCTGCAGTGGTTTCCAGGCCCAGACATAGAAGAGGATGTTTTCCACATTCTGGAGCTAAGCAAACTCTAGGTACCGCCTAGTCACCTCCCACATCATGGAAAAGGATTCAGCAGGACTAGTTAGGAAACCACCACACAGACGCCAGGACTGCAGACAGCTGCGGTCAGAGCCCTAGTGGTCTCTGCCAGAGGGGAGGAGTTGGGAGGGGTGAATAACATCTGGTGGGTGTGGAGGCTTCCCGGAAGAGCTGGGGAGGCGGCTGGCTCAGGAATTCCAGCAGGAGATGAGGGTGGCCTGGACCACCATAGCTGGCGGATGATGGGAAGTCTGCAGGGCTCAGACACCGCCTGCGGGAGCAGGGGGACAGAGGGGTGAGGCGTGAGTCAGGTGCGTGTTGGCGAGGATAATGAGCCCAGGCAACTGCACCTAAACTCCCAGCCTGCAGGGTGCCCCCCATTTGAGTGGCCCCTGATATTTAAATGCGGGTGCTCTCCAGGGCTCAGTCCTGGCTAGGAAAGTAGTCGGAACTGGGGACCCCCTTCCCTGTACCTGGATTCAGGCTCCCACGCTCTTGTTGGGCTGTCCTTACTGCGGATGGGCCAGACTGCTCAGCTAATCTGTCATGTTGTGGGGTTCCGAGCCTGGGTTTGCCTTCTCTGTTTGTGTCCTCTCTCTCTCCCTCTCCCTCTCTGCATGCCTCTGTCTGAAACAATCTTCTCATTTCTCTCTCCCTGACTGATGGGAAATGCTGGAGAAGGAATAGATTTGGAGGGAGCCCTTTGAGAGGGCTGTGAGATATTCATTGGAAATACAGACTGAAAGTACAGAGAAGAGCTGGCACTATAACTCTGGAAATCAGGAGGAAAAGTACAGCATTCATTGTCAGGGGGATGAAGGAACTCATCTGAGGCAACAGAAAGCCAAGAGGCACCAGGACCCTGTGGCAAAGACCTCAAAATTTAGAGTCTGGGGATCGGAGGGGTGGGCAGGAAGACTCATGGAGGTGGACAGTATCAATACAGGACTGGTTAAAAGGGGAAAGGCAGTGAGGAGGGTAAGGAAAATAGGAGAATGTGATGGTTGAGAGGGTCGGTAAGGCAGGAGGTGCAGGAGAAAGTGATTTGGGTCAAATACTGCAGAAAGGTTGAATAAAATCCATCCATTCCTCAGAGCATTTATTCATTCAACGGTCTACACCTTCCCGTCAATTCAGTCGTCAGCCTCCAGATTTCCATTAGTCAGGTGTCATCATTATTCTTTTAATTATTCACCTCTTAAATCATGAATTTACTTCTTTTTCATTAATTTAATCCTCACACCGAGGGCTTTTTGTGCACCAGGACACTAGGCACAGGAGGAGACCCAAACTGACTGCCGGGGAGAAAGCGAGGCATGGGTTCCGCCATGTACACTGATGGCTGCTGGCCACCCAGGCGATCAGAGCCAAGCATATTGCTGATGGTGGGTGGGGGGGGATCAGGGCAGGGTGGGGACACTCCCAAGAAGAGGTGCCGGGGCGCTGAGCCGACTGGGATTTTGTCCAGGTGTCAGGACAGAAGGTTGAGGCCTGGATTAGGTCCTGGAGGAGAGGCTGTGGACTGAGAAGTAACCTCAGGGAGGGAGATCTTCCCAGAACGACAGGCCTGGGCGTTGGAAGAGGAGGCAAAGGGAGGAGTCTGGAAGGTTCGCGATCAGGCCATTCCCACCCGTGTTTGTGTGCCAACTGCCCTTCCACTTGCACTGTTTCCCACAACCTGTGGTTCAGAGTTCAGACACCACGTCCTCAAAACTGCAGACCCAGTGCCCGCTAACATTTTAGCTTTTGGCTCCTCCCACTCTCACACTTAGCCTCATAACCTCTTTGTTTACTGTCTCATCCATTCATCTATTCATTCAGAAAATGTTTGTTGTGGCCATATTGTGTCTTGGCATTGAGCTAAGATCAGGGGTTATATCAACAAATAAGATCCATCCTTCGTGCCAAATGAGCTAACATAATAAAATATTCCTCATCACAGTGAGCATGAATTGAGCACGTATCATGAATAAAGCCTTTTATATTGAAGTTAATGTTTTCCCAATTGCTGTAAATTATCTTCATCCCCTGCTGTCACCCCTGCTTTACGGATTAGGAATCTGTAAGCACAGAGAAATTAGATGTCCTGGCCAATGTCATAGTTTTTATGAGGATTCAGAGCAGACATATGAGATCCAAAAGCCCTTATTTTTAAGTATTTTCCAATGCCGGATCGCAATTTGGCCTTAATTCAATCTGAATGAGCCACGCACCCCAGGGTGGGACCCAGGCCCGGACAGAAGCCATCCTGCACAGGGAACCAAACCAAGGCAGCTGGAGAGAGTTCTCTAACCACAGGCTCTACTTAGAAGATACCTGGAAGGTTTACTCGGGTCTAACCCTAGATGATCATATGGTGTCTGCTTTAAGGACTCGCTTTGCTAACAGGGTTTGGTGAGGAACTGAGAGGCTTTTCAAAAACATCCTCTTCATTAGCAAATACTCATCTCACTGAGAGCCATGCCTTACAGGATGCAAAGTCTGATAAAACAAAATCCACACAATGCAAACTCATGGCTCTTCAACTTAAACGACTCGAGGGAATTTTGTTCCACTAAAACTTTATCTAAAATTTTTTTATTTTAAATTTTTTTTGGGGGGGTAGGTAGTTAGGTTAACTTACTTATTTAATTGTAGAGGAGGTACTGGGGATTGAACCCAGGACCTTGTGTATGCTAAGCATACGCTCTACCACTTGAGCTACACCTTCCCCCCCCTTCTAAAAAACTTTTTTAAAAGAAGTTTTAAAGATATACTTGCCAGTACTGCAGGGAAGAAGGACATTGGACTAAAGATTGTCCAACATTAAAGAAAAAAAAAAGCCAATAATTGCAGGAGTCCCAGTGCCTCTCCTCCGAGGAATATTTTCCTGTCTTCCCCAAGCCACTCTTGAATGCTGGGTGAAGTGATAATCTCAATCTATGAGCACCCATCATCTTTCTGGTAGACCCTGGAGCCGCCTCCTCCACCCTCAACACCTCACAATTCCCCACCAAAATTCCTCAGAAGACACAAATCTCCTCCATAGTGGGGTTATTTACCACATGGCCTGTCCCTTTTAAAACCCCTTTCTGAGAGTTAATTTTTAAAATAAATAAATAAATAAAATAAAAATAAAAAATAAAACCCCTCTCTGTATCTCTTGGACCCCACGATGCTTAACATAGCTTTTTGTTAAGTTCCACAACTCCTTTTACTATATCGGGCAGAGATTTCATTTCTTTCTTTCTTTTTTTAAATTGAAGTAGTCAGTTACAGTGTGTCAATTTCTGGTGTACAGCACAATGTCCCAGTCATGCATATCCGTACATATGTTCTAATTTCTATTTGTAGTGTTACTGTTTCATGTTCATTCAACTTTGCAGACTCCTCCCTCTCTCCCTCCCTCACTTGGTGCTTGGACAGCTCTGATGGGTGACCTGCGTTTCCTTGACCCCTCGCAGCATCCCAACCCTGGCTAATCCCCACATTCAGAACATGCTCACTCACAGTCCCAACTCACTTTGGGCTAAAGGAATGACAGATGTAGGACAAAAGCAGAGTCTTTATGGGCGCGGGGGCGGGGGCAGATATAGACCTCACTATGCATCTCCCGAAACTAACCCAATACTCTACAACCGGAGGTCATTTATGGTCTCAGATCTATTACTCACGGATTCCTTGACAAGGGGCTTCTCATCTCCGCATCTGGCCCCTGCGACACACCTGTTCTACCTGTAAAGAACCCAATTAGGTACAAGAATTATGAGCCATAAAAAAAATTGTAAAACCTACGATTGTTTTTGTTCCCAAACCCCAATGCTTGCTTCTATACCCTCCGATACTACTGTTTTCATCACTGTTGACTTAGGCTCTGCTTTCTTTGTAATTTCATCGCAACTCCCAATACCTGTTTGCCTTTCCGTGGGAAAAACAACAGTCTACTTGGACGGTCACTCTCCAGGGATTTTCAGAAGCCCTCACTTCTTTTGCCAGGACGTAAAGTGTAAAACTAAAGAACTGGGTCTTGTAATTCAACCCTCATTCAATATGTAGAAGACCTTCTTTGTTCTACTAGGTTCAGTAACTCATAGTCACACCCAATACTTATTAGAGACTCTGGCTTGCAAGGAACATAAGGTTTCAAGGGACAAAAATGCAACTTTGTTGTCTTCCGGTGCATTATCTGGGACACTATATCTCCCGAAGGGAAAAATTTTGTCCTCAGAACTATCAAGACCATTCTTAACTACACTCTGCCTGGAACAAAAAGACAACACTGAGGCTTTCTAGGATTAACTGGATACTGTAGGACGTAGATTCCGACTTTTTCTGCTGTAGCATCCCCTGTATTTATGGTGTAATTTAGGAAACTATGCTTGAACTTCTACAACGGGACTCATTTTCCGTGAAGGCATTTGAATCCTTAAAAACTTCCCATTTCTCTGCCTCCAACTTGGGGCTCCCAAACCACCCTTGTCTTTTCCCTATTCATTCATGAGCGAGGAGGGCTTGGTTCAGGTGCCCTATTTCTTTCTTTCTATTCTTTCGGTGGTGGGGGGAGGTAATTAGGTTTTTGAAACATTAATTATTACTTTTTTTTTTCCTAAATGGAGGGACTGGGGATTGAACCCAGGACCTTGTGCATGCTGGGCACACACTTTACCTCTGAGCTATACCCTCCCCACTAGGTGCCCTGTTTCAGAGCCATAATGGAAACCAAAGGCCCCTTGGGTATTTTAGCCTCACTTTAGACCCTGTTAGTAAAGCATTCTCTTCCTGTTTTCAAGCAGGTTGTGGCAAAATTGGTCCAAGATACAGCTGATCTTCTGCTCGGTCACATCCTGAAATTTATGTACCCCAGGCTGCCCAAATCCTTCTCCTAACTGAAACACTCAATACTTTTCCTTGACCGCCACCCTTCTGGTTTCCCCTTCTCACATCACTGTTCCCTGCTCAAAATCTTAACCCTGACGCTCTCCTTCCTGTCCCAACTGAAGGATAACCACAGACTGCACAGCAGCCACCTGCACGCTAACCCTTCCTCATCCTGACCTCTAGAGGTTACCCTTGCAGAACCGGAGCTCACCCTCTTTGTGGATAGAGCTTATCTCTGCATCTCAGAAGGAACATTCCAGACAGGATCTGCTATTACAGATTTCCAAAGCCCTGTGGAGTAGGAGTCACTGCCTGACACCAGATCATTGCAGAGAGCAGAACGTGTATTATCCCAGGCCCTGCACTGTAGTTAAGAACAAGAGAATTAACATCTATGGAGACAGCACATACGCATTTGAGTTAGTGCCTGACTAGTATGTCAAAGAAAGCCAGGGGATTTATGACTACAACTGGAACACCAACTAAAAATGGGAAATGGATGGCTGATCAATTAGAGGATTTATTACTGAAAGAAGTGGATGGATTTAAAATAGAAGCTCATATGGGCAGTAAGATCCCAAAGCAAAGAGGGAACTTGTTCACTGATAAACATGCTAGCAGCTCCTCAGTCTGCCACAATCCCGCTACAACCAGAGAGAATATTAAACCTACTCTGCCTATCACCTGACCCTCGAAGAAAGGAAATGAAAGTCTCTCCATGCAAAGTCCCTGAGATTAAAAGGCTAACTGGAAACAGCTGGCTGTCTTATTCACCCAGATAAACTTTGGAGACACCCAGATGGTCATTTAGTCTCTCCTCAATCCCTTGCCTGAAATTTCATCTTTGGCATTCACAAAACAAGAAAGAAAAAATAGATCAGCTCCCCAACTGATGACAGTGGGAGAATTGTACTCCCTCCCTGGAACAAATGGTTTCCTTTTGCCTCATCTGCCAAAAATAGATGGCACAGGAAGACAGCCTCCTCCAGCGGGACTCTTTCTCCACTGGAAATTAGATTTTATTCAGCTCCCGGTATTTTATGGTTGTGAATATGTCCTTGTCATTATTCACGTGTTCTCTCATTAGGTCAAAACTGTCAAAGTGACAGTTTCTCACTTTCCTTGTTTTTTAAGTGACCTTGACAGTTTTGAGTAGTACTGGTCAGCTCTATTGTCATACAGATGTCTCTATGGGAATTTATCTGATGATTTTTTTTCATGAATAGGCTGGGTTGATGAGATTTGGGGAAGAAGAGCATAGAGGTAAAGTGTTATTTTCCTCACATCGTATCAAAGGCACTGTGGTATAATAAATAAATTTGGTCTTTGTCCCTGGTTCCTGAAAAAAAGCTCCTAAAGCTCTTGGAATTAATCAACAGATGCATAAACAAATGCATTTGATAAAAATCCAATATCCATTCATGTTAAAAAAAAATAAATCTTGGCAATCCAGGAATAAAGGGGAACTTCCTCAACTTGATAAATAACATCTTAAAAACCTATATCATACTTAATGGTGAGAAACTAGATTCTTTCCCACTAAGACAGGAACAAGGCAAGGATGTCCACCTCACATCACTCCTATTTAACATCACACTGCATTTCCTAGATAATGTAGTAAGACATGAAAAAGAAATAAAAGGTATATGGATTAAAAAGAAATAAAACTGTTTTTGTTCACAGATTACATGACTGTCTATGTAGAAATTCTAAAGAATTGACCCAAAGCCCCCTCAAAACAAATAAACAAAAAAAAAATCCTCTTGGAACTAATAAGCAATTATAGCAAAGTTGCAGGTTACAAGGTTAATGCACAGAAATCAATTGCTTTCCTATATACTAAAATGAACAACTGGAATTTGAAATTAAAATATAGTATCATTTACATTAGCATGAAAAATATGAAATACTTAGGTGTAAACCTAACATAATATATACAAGATCTACATGAGGAAAACTATGAAATTCTGTTGAAAGAAATCAAAGAAGAACTAAATGCAGAGATATTCCATGTTCATGGATAGGAAGACTCAATTCTGTTGTGATGTCGGTTCTTCCCAACTTGATATATAGATTCAATGCAATTCCAATCAAAAAAAATCCCAGGAAGTTATTTTGTAGATATCAATAAACCTACACTAAGTTTACACAGAGAGGCAAAAGACCCAGAATAGCCAACCCAAAATCAAAGGAGAAGAATCAATTGGAAAACAAACACTACCTGATTTCAAGACTTACTATAAAGCTACAGTTATCAAGACAGTGTGGCAAAGAAATAGACAAATAGATCAATGGAACAGAATAGAGAGCTCAGAAATAGACCCGAACAAATTTAGTCAACTTTTGTTTGACAAAATAGCAAAGACAATTCACTGGAGTGAGGATAATCTTTTCAGCAAATGGTGCTGGAACAACTGGACAGTCACATGCAAAATGGATCATGGTCTAAATTTAAAATGCAAAACTAAAAATCTCCTGGCAGATAGCACAGAAAATTTAAATGACCTTTTATTTGGCTATAACTTTTTATATACAATACCAAAGGCACAGTCAGTGAAAGAAAAAAATGATACGCTGAACTTCATTAAAATTTAAAACTTCTGCTCTGGGAAAGACACTGTCAATGGAATAAGGAGACAAGCCTCAAACTGGGAGAAAATTTTTTCAAAAGAAATATCTTGTAATGGACTGTGATCTAAAACATGCAAAGGACTCAACTCAAAAGAAAGAAAATAAACAACCCAATTAAAAAATGGGCAAACAATTGAATATATGCCTCGTCATCAAGATGGAAAATATGCATATGAAAAGAAGCTCAGCACCAGACATTATTAGGAAAATACAAATTAACACAACCACAAGATACCACTACACACCTATCAGAATTGCTAAAATCTAAAACACTGACAACACCAAACGTTGGTGGTGAGGAGCAACAAGAACTCTCACTCATTGCTAATGGAAATGCAAAATGGTACAATTTGGCAGTTTCTTACAAAACTAAGCATATTTCTACCATACAATCCAACAGTTGCACGCCTTGGTATTTACCCAAAAGAGTTGGAAACTTATGTCAAAAAAAAAAAACTTGCATATGGATGTTTACAGCAGCTTTATTCATAATTGCCTCAAATTGCAAAAGTAACCAAAATGTCCTTCAGTATGTGAACGGATAAAGTGTGGTACATCTAGATGGTGGAATATTATGTAGCACTGAAAAATGAGCTATCAAGCCACGAAAAGATATGAAGAAAATTTAAATGTATATAACTAAGTGAAAGAAGCCAATCTGAAAATGCTACATATTGTAGGATTCCAACTTTATGACATTCTGGTTAAGGCAAAACTATGGAGACAGTAAAAAGTTCAGTGGTTGCCAGGGGTTAGGGGGCAGGGAGGGATGAGTAGGGGGAACATGGGATTTTTCAGGCAGTGAAATTATTTTGTATAAAACTATAATGATGGGTACATGACATTATACATTTGCCAAAACTCACAGAAAGTGCAACTCATACAGTAAATGCTAATGTGAACTATGGTCTTTGTTTAATAATGATTTGTCAGTTGATGAAATGAAATTCATATTTTATGGCAAGACAAGAAAAATTTAAACATAAAAAATTTCTTTGCCTATTTGGACCTCCTTCCTCCCCTTCAGTGTGTATTGTGCATCTGCATCAACCTCCTTAGGAGATATTTCTTCTTAATCTTGGAAGGGGCCACAATGACCTGCTACTCACTTTGTACATGCAGATCTGGATTGTATAACGTGCCAGTATGTCATTAAAGTATAACCCTTTGTCTCAAAAATGTAGATAACTGTGCTTTAGCCTCTAACGGGCAGAACAGTCCTCAGAGCTCTCTGAAAGACTGTCCCCTGGGTCATAATCCTTAGGCTGGCTCAAATAAAATTTTCCATTTCTTTCTTAGATTGACTAGTGATTAATTTTTCTTCAACACAGTGCTAGTTCATGGACTGGAGCAAATGCACCACATGGATGCAGATGTTGAATGAGGGAGGGCCTGAGTCATGTGTTGGGGAGAGAACCTGGGAACAGTATACTTCCTGCTCATTTATGAACTTAAAATTGCTCTGAAAAATAGTACCTATTGATTTTTAAATTTAATCTCTCCTGAAGGGCATTTTGAGCCATTAAAATTGCCTGACATCTCATATACAAGGCAACCCCCATCAGGCTATCAACTGATTTTTTTGCAGAAACTTTGCAGGTCAGAAGGCAGTGGCATGATATATTCAAAGCTCTGAAAGGGAAAACCTGCAGCCTAGGATACTCTACCCAGCAAGATTATTATTTAGAATAGGAGAGAGAAAGAACTTCTCAGACAAGTGAAAACCAACAGAGTTCATCAATGCTAAACCTACCCTAAAGGAAATATTAAAGGGTGTTCTCTAAGTGGAAAAGAAAAGGCTCTAACAAGAAGTATCTATAGGAAAGGAAAAATCCTACTAGTAAGGCACCTATATAGTAAAGGTTGAGGGTCAATCACTTAAATGAACTAGTGCAAAGATTAAAAGACAAAAAAATTGCAAAATCAAGTGTAACCGCAATAATCAGTAAAGGGATAAATATGAAGATGTAAAACATGACATAAAAAACACAAAGTGTGGAGGAAGGGAATAGAAAAAGTAGATTTTTTAGAATGCATTTGAACTTAAAGGACTACCTGTTTAAAACAAATTTTTTAAAAAAGAAGACAAACGAACTTAAATATAAAACAGAAACAGACTCACAGACATAGAATACAAACATGGTTGCCAGGGGGGAGGTGGGTGGGAAGGGACAGACTGGGAGTTTGAGATTGGTGGATACTAACAGGTATGTATAGAATAGATAAACAAGTTTATACTGTATAGCACAGGGAAATATATCCAAGATCTTGTGGTAGCTCACGGGGAAAAAGAATATGAAATTGAATATATGACTGAAAAATCATGCTGTACACCAGAAATTGACACAGCATGGTAAACTGACTATAACTCAATATAAAAAAACAAAAAAAGCAAATAGATACAGTTATAGGTCAACATATATGAACGCTGTGGTAACCACAAATCAAAAACCTACAATAGATACACAAAAACAAGAGAGAAAGCAACACAAAGATACCGCTTAAAGAAAATCATCAGACTACAAGGAAAGAAACTAAAAGGAGAAGATAAGAACAAGGAAGAACTACACAAACAGCCAAGAAACAAGTAATAAAATGGCAGTAAGTACATACCTCTTAATAATTACTTTAAATGTCAAAGGACTAAATCCACCAATCAAAAGACATAGGGTAGCTGACTGGATGAAAAAACAAGACCCATCGATATGCTGCTTACAAGAGACTCACTTCAA